AGCCCAGAGTCTGAAGCCCCCTCCCGATTGAAAACAACAACCGCGCCCTCGGCTGCCAGCCCGCTCCGCGCACTCCGCACCTGAGTATTTCAGTTCCGCACTGTGCCTCCTCTGAGTCTGGGTATGATATTCTCTTTACTCCTAGTTGTAGAATTTCCACTCAGCCAGCCCTCCTGTGGTTCTGGATGATGTCCGTTCCGTCTTTTAGGTGTAATTTGATTTGGTTGTTCGAAGCAGCAATCTCCGGCGTTAACCTATGCCGCCATCTTGGTTCTCTCCTCAAAAGAATAGTAGTGTTTTGTGCAGCAAATAAGATTAAGGTAAAATATAAGGTTAGGGTATGATTTTTAAAAATATATTTGTATTGATTTCAGAGAGGAAGGTAGAGGGAGAGAAAGATAGAAACATCTATGATGAGAGAGAATCGTTGATTCACTGCCTCCTGTATGCTCCCTACTGGGGATCGAGCCCGCAAGCCAGGCTTGTGCCCGACCAGGAATTGAAACCGTGATTGCCAGGTTCATAGGTCAATACTCAACCACTGAGCCACACCAAGCAGGCTGATTTTTTTTATTATTATTAAGAAAATTGTATTTATTTAGAGGCATTTAGAATGTCAACAAAACAACTGCAACTTTTTTGGGGGGTTACAAAGTGGTATTTAGCTAATAGAACAGCAATGAGTTCATATAAGATGCATCAGAGACAAATGAGTGAAAAACTACTATCCTTATAAATAACTAATTTGTCCTATGTACAAACAATAACCTGCTTTAAACTTCTTGCCAATTTACAACCCTCCCTACCCCCCCGTACTAGGCAAGGTGATTGGCTATTGAAAATACCACCAGGTCAGAGCTAGCTAGCATTTAAGACATTTGGTAGTATGTTAACTATACCAAAAAAGATACTACTGTACAGTTTAGAAACAAGTCTTGCATAGCCTTACATTTCTTTTTTTTTTCTTTAAAGGGATTGAGATGTGTTAAATGTTTTATAGACTAAAAATTAGAACCAGCTTATTTATCATCATCTTCTGCCTGTCTTCTCCTCATCCTTTTCATCTTCTTTCTTTTCCTCCTTTTTTTGCTTTTTGCAGCCTTGATGACTCCCTTTTTAGCCTCATAACCTTATACAAATATATATTTTTCATGTTTTTCCTTCAGCTTAGCAGCCTTATGAACATGGCTTGTCATCTACAGTATTAGTCCACATCTCTCCCAGTTTCTTTGTAGCATCACCAATATATAGGTTGTCCCCAAAAATGTATACACACACTTTGAATAATTAGAAAGGCAGTGTTTATTAAAATATATTTCATTTTCAAAATTGAGCTATCAGCTGTTACAGTGTGTATATATTTTTTGGGACACTCTGTATAAGCCAAGGTGTTCTTTGAATTGGGGGCAATAGAACAATAAAAAGACTTAAGGAGGCCTTTTGGGTGCATTGGGATCTTTGAACTTTTTTGTTTACCCTTTAGGAGGAATATAGGTTTTCATTTCTCTTTTATAAAGGGTATTTTCTGCCTTTGAGATATCTTCAAAGTTTCCTTTCTCTAGCAGATAGTCTTTCACCTCTCAGCACTTTTCAGAAAGCTCTGAAAAGGTGACTAAAGCATCTAAGTACTTTTTCTTGTGCTCCTCTCAGTAAGTTTGCACAAAGAATGTATATGATGTCATTTTGCTTCTTGGTTTCTTAGAATCTCCTTTGCCCATGTTTAGTTTTTCTTTTCTTTTTTTTCCCTCAATGAGGCATAAAGTCACCCAGTCATCTGTAGTAGTATTAGTCCACACCTTTCAGGCCCTCACTTGCCCTGGCGTTATCTCTGTGGAGTTCATGTACTGCAGTGGTTGTCAATTTGGGGTATGATGATTTTTTAAAAATCTTTATTGTTGAAAGTATTACATAGGCCCTCCTTTCCCCCCCATTAACCTCTTCCAGCCTGCTCCCATCTTTCCCCCACCCCCAGGATATGATTTTAAAAATATATGCTTTTATTGATTTCAGAGATACATAGACAGGGAGAGGGAGAGAGACAGAGACATCCATGCGCAATCAATGATGAGAGAATCATTGATTGGCTGACTCCTGCACGCCCTCTACTGGGATTGAGCCCACAACCCAGGCATGTTGCCCTAACCCAGAATTGAACTGTGATCTCCTGGTTCATTGGTCAGTGCTCAACCACTGAGCCACAATGGCCAGGCTAGGGTATGATTTTTAACAATGATGTAACAGTAAGTATTAGAAGGCTGATGTAAGATGTTGCTATAAGTAGGTCCTCGGGTTACATCGAATATCCATTCCTACAGCAAGACATCATGCGATTTTTGCTGTAAGTCAGAACCCACCTAACCACCTGCATAAGCACCTACGTCACTCACATGGAGCACATATACAGCAGTAATGAAGTGAAACAGTAAGAAAAATTTAAAAGGAAGATAATTCCTGACCTTTACTTGTGGTAAGTAAATAATAAAAAAACATAAAGCACATATGTACATACGTCGAAATGACGAAACTTTTTTTTATATAAATAAATGGGAGATGGCAACGTTATCAAATAGATCTTAGATTAATGTTTTACAATTATGTTTTTGTGATGAGCTACTAGTTTGTTTGTTTTTATTGATTTTAGAGAGAGTGGAAGGGAGAGAGGGAGAGAGAGAAGCATCAATGAGAGAGAAATATCAATCAGCTGCTTCCTGCACACTCCCAAATGGGAATTGAACTCACAACGTAGGCATGTACCCTGACCAGGAATCAAACCAGCAACCCCTTGGTGCATGGGACAATGTTCAAGCAACTGGGCTACATTGGCCAGCATGACAAGGTACTAGTTGTGTGTTTTTTTAATGTTGTGAAATTATTTATTAAAGAAATTATAATTTACTTTTTAAATAAATCCAGGTTGTGAAATACTTTTATTAAGACTAAATACTTAAACTGGCCTCATCTTTTCAAAAATCAATGTCATAAAGCAAAAAGTAGAAATGGGAAGGAACTGTTCTATATTTTAAAAAACTAAAGAGGCTTCAAAAAACAAGAGAGGCTTCTGATCAAGATGGTAGCAAAAGTAAACACGATAATCACCTTCCACAACCACATCAAAATTAGAACTAAACTATAAAACAACCATCATTCAGAAATCTGGCTGAATGGAAGTTCTACAACTAGAGAATTAAAGAAGACACCACACTGAGACTGGTAATGAGATAGGCTAGTAAGCCAGGGGC